TAAAGGCTCTGTTTCATCATTGGGTGTGCATGTCTATGCTGCTGGAGATGGAACCCAGGTCTTTATGCTAGCGAGGCAAGTTCTCTATCACTGAGCCATTTTCCTAGCCCTGCAAGCATAGCTCTTAAACAGCCAGTGTTCTCCTGTAGCCGACAGGATGTCAATCCGTTTTCTGAATGATACAAAACAGTGGCAAAGCCAGAAGAAAGGAGCCCACTAATTTCCATTATCAGAAGCCTGGACACCAGTGCAGCTGAGGAAGGAGAGTTTGCGCCCATCACTAACTGCATCTTGAGATGCTGCAGAGACCCTACATTTTAAGGAAACTGAGATTCAAACAGGGATTACCCATGGTCTGTTCTTATCTCTAAATGCCAAAGAAAGAAGGGATTGGAAGGGGTCCAAAAATGCTCCTTCCTATTTTCCTCTACCTACTCTTGTCCCTCACCCACGGAATCTACATTAGAGTCCTGGGTTCAGATCCTACCTGGCCTTGAGCTTCAATTGCTCTACCCTTCAGTTTTTCCAAGAGCAGGATAAAAACCTGGTGCCTGAAGGACCTGCTCACAGCCACACATCTGGCCAGCAGCAGACAAGCTTGGAACACTGGATGAGCTCACTCCCCTTTGGTAAGTTTCAGTTTCTGATTCTAAACAGGAGATAACAAAGCCAGCATGGGGCATCATGTGTGAACTGTAAAGCACACTAAAAAGGCAGTAAGAACATCATCTCTTATTGGTGGTCTGAGAAGCTGGGTGGGGAGAGGACTTTCAGAAGACTCGTCCCATTCATTTATATCAGGCCAGAGTGGAGGAGGAGGGTATTAAATATCAGAGTTATTTAAAAGCCACTCGCCCGCCCCACAAAGCAGAGTGTGGCCTCTGCTGACTCAACAGAGAAAATGAATCTTGGGCTTATGGATTTTCCAATGTCTCAGGGAGAGGGGGGAGGAGGGAGTAAGTGATGAAAAATGGGAACAGCCAGGCCCACAGCAAAGTCCTCCTCAACAGAAGTGCAGAAGCTTCAAAAGTAGAGAACCCGGGCCATCCTGCTACCTAATGACTGATTTTCATCATATCAAGCCTACCAGCTGCTCTCCATTTGCCTCACAGGAATGGAGGGCCAAGGAAAGGGAGGGCAGCAAGCGGGCCCCCAGAATGAAGGGAATCTGCATGACAGGACACTAAAGCAGCAAGCCTGGATGGACCCCTACTTCATGGTATCACCCCTATAAACAAACTATGGCCTTTACTAGGGCTGAGCCAAGTTCAAGATTATACATGGAGGAGGGTAGGGAGACCATCATGGACAAATCAGTATAACCTTCCCTTCCCTGACCTAAAAAGCCAAGGGGCACAAGACTAAAAGACCCTCTGTGTACACACATACACACACACACACACACACACACATACACAGTTTTTCCAGAAAGTGAACCTGAGGTCTGGAAAGGCAGAGACTTGCCCAAGGACTTTCATAATCTAGTGGCATTTCTGATGTCATTTTGGAGCTGGAGCCTAATGGGGAACAAGCTACATGCTGAGTATCCTAACAGGGAAATCACCAAATCTCTCTAGGATTCCTACCAAGCCTTAGTTTACAGAAAATATGGTCTTTGCAAGAGAAAGGAAATCCAAAGGAAGGAGCTTGAAGCTCAGGAGAAGACAACATCCTCGAATGCTGAGAAACGAGTTATGAGACTTACTGAAGTAATAAATTCAAGAGCTGAGGTCCAGGGCTGGGGATGCAGCTCAATAGTAGGTGGCTTACCTAGTATGCACGTAGCCCTGGGTGCCATCTCCAATACTGCAAAGGGAAATAAAAGGCGGGGGAGAGGAAAACTTAAGGTCTAGTGTGGCTGCCAAGGGGGATTCTTATCTGGGCAGAGGGCAGGTCATTCTGCTCCAATGGGATGAGGATGCCTCACTCGCTCTCAGTCTTAAGAAAACCAGACCGCCTGAGTTCTTTGCCTACAGGGAGGGCCACTGTGCCAAAGAAAGTGAACAGGAAACCTGAGCTCCTGGCAGGCCCAGGTTCCCCATAGCTGTGTAACCTTGGGGGAAGTACTTAACCTTTCTGGGCAACCATCTCCAGGTGTAAAGTATAGATGGTGGATCCTCACCAAGCTGACCTCACAGGAATAGAAGGATCAAGTCAGAGATTTTAAAATCATTATTTCACTCCATAATCGTTCCCTGGTGCCTTTTTATGCTAAGCCTTGCTGTGTTCCCGACACGCAGGAAATCAGACCAATCTCCAGCCCTGCTTACAGACAGCACTCTGATCACTAGTGAAGCTCCAAACGTGGATAGAGAAGCCACAAGAGCTTCCCGGAGGTGGCAAACTCTTGCTGTGCCCAGAAAGCCTGTAAGAGGACTGCAGAGGGGAGGGAAAACAGCCCAAGAAAAGATACTTCGCGTGGATGCACTGGAGAAGAAATACAACCTCAGACTCAACGGGATGTTCATTTATTGAACACGTACTGCCACCCTGCTAACTCCAAGATGAAGAGAGCTGCTCTTCCAGAAAACAGAGCAGTTTCCCCACCTGTACAACACAGTGAAACCTGTGCTGTTCTCTGGGCTTCCCTTCCCCAGCTGAGGTGTTTTGCATCCCTCGACAATGGTTGCCTGCTGCCTTAAGATCTCTTTCCAGAGGTGCCATCATCCAGTTAATCAGAAGTCAATCACTGTGCTGGCGGATGACTCTGGCTTTGGAAAGTGGTCTGCAACTCTACAGGACTGGAGGTAGCGGCTGTCCCTTCATTCACTACGAGCCCATAAGCCTTTGCTGCACACTTCTCTCATGCTGGTTCCTGAAACTGCAAAGCAGAAGACCCAGGGCCCCGTCACCACCACCACAGGGAGAAGTCAGAGCTGGGGCTGAAGTGGGCCAAGATTGAGGGGAGTATACCAGATGAGTACTCAGCCTCAAGGGCAGTTACTTGAGTACCTATGCCCACATAGGGAAAGACCACCAGCCTGTGACCTCCACAGACCAACAGCACAGTGCAGCAGGAGGAGCAGACTCCCGTGACAGCCAACCTCTGGATGTCTATGCTTACATCATACACGGGTTTGTAAGCCTCCCCTCTGAGAATGCCTCTGGAAACCTGTAAGGACTAGCAATGCTTATTCAAGCGCTTATGTGCTCATGAATCTATGGGAACTTACAAGGATCCACTCAAACTTCTGTTCCTACAAGTTTAAATACTGCATTGTTTTTCTTGTGTGAGAAACCAAAGAGTAAGTAAGGAGCATAACACAGGATATTAGAAAGCAGGAAAAACATGTTCAAACGGGAAGGGGAACAAGGGAGGGGAGAGGAAAGGAAGGGAAAGGGAAAAAAGAGAACAGAAATAAAGCTTTTGTAAATGGAGAGGGGGAGAAGAGTTGAGAGAGGGCAGAAAGATGAAGAAAAAAGAATTAAGATATAGTACATACATGCACAAATTCTCTATGATGAATGTGATCAATATGTATAAGTATGTGCTGATAAAGAAATAAAGTGAAAAAGCACTCCCATAAAATTTTTTAAAAAATACATTCCTGGGTACACGTTTATAAATGAACCTGCACATATTTGCATGAGGCACATCTTATCCTGCCTGGGTAAGCCTTCTCATGCATGTCTACGCAATTCCATGGAAGCACAAGTCTGTGTTCATATCTGGACACATCTAGGACTGTTCATGTGAAAACATGAAACGTTCCCCTTGACATGTATAAGCACACATGTACATATAACTTCATGTGCGCATCCGTACAGAGATATCCAACTGTGTACGCACAATTCACTGTTGCCATCTGCCAGTATCTGGGAGTGCCATGACGCAGACAGGGCAGAAAGGACTGTAGGGAAAAGGAGGCTGGAGAATCCCCTGGTCCAGCCCTGGGCCCTAGTGTTGGTCCCTGCCTGACACCCAGGCCATGGCAGGGTCTGCCTCTTATCTTTAAGTGGTTTCGATCCCGTTGGTCGATCTGTTAAATATAACCTCAGGGAAGTCAACCCGACAACTGGCAACCCTCCCCAATTCAGGAGAAAGACGACTGATTCCTGGGGGAGGGGAGGGGAGCCTCTATCCTAACTTGCTCTGCTGATACTGGAATGGCCTGCGGATCAAATGACAGCTCCTCCAATCTGAATAATTCATGCCAAGGCCAGGAATACTCCTTTCTTGGGAGCCTGTCACTTTAAATCAGGTCTGGCACTTCCCAGTTCTGCAAAAAATAAATAAATAAGTGAAAATCCAGAACAAAACAAATCTATAAACAGCTCAGCCCCCATCTCTGCCCTGGTCCCCTCAGAAATCCCATTCAATGTTGCCAAAATGGTTCCTGTTCTCCCAGTCTCTGGAGCTCCCAATCACCACTAACAGAGGAGAAGCCTGAAGCGGAGGATGCAGAGTCAGCGACAAGGGGTGCCCAGGTGCTGGGGTGCAGAGGGAAAATGAAGAGCTGAATCACTCTGCCCAACAATCCCGGTGCCTAGGAGGGTGCTTGGGAAGAGGCCTGCCTGCTGGAGGGAACTAAAAGCCCAGACTCCCCATAGTAGGGGCACACCCAGTTATTGGGTCTGGGTGGAGCACAGGTGCAGCTGACTTCTCCAGAGCACGGGACAGGTTCCAGGAAATGCCAGTTGCACAGGACCTGCAGGAGTAGTGACTTGGCTATGCTCAATGGAATTGGGGTCGAAGAGGAGGTGGCCGGAGGCTGGGGATTTTCCAGTCTTCCTCCCCTTGCATATTTCCTTTCCCTAATCACAGAAACCGGGATGAGGCTGAAAAATGAGAAACTTTCTCAGCCCACCTCTAATCCTTGCCTCTTCTTGTAGCTCTAAAGTCGTCCGCTTCCCAAAAAGAAAAATATCCTTCTGGGCAAAGACCCACCTACCAGCTCCGCCAGCTCGCCCCTGCCGGCCCCGCCCCACACGTGCCACCAAGGGAGCAAGAAACCAGCCTAAACGTGGGGGATGGGAAAGAGGGGAGAAAGCAAGTCAGCCTCAGAAAGCCAAACTTCTCGGCAGCTGGGAGACTGGTGTGCGGAAGCGAGAGCTCAGCAACGAAACCCAAATCCTGACTCTCGGGAGCCTCCCACCCCGCCTCCTTGGGCAAGGAGGGCGCGGAGTCTCCGCTGGGGGCGGAGGAGGCGGCCCGGAGGCGGGGAGGGGGAGGCAAACCCTGCCCACTGGGCTTGGAGCCTGGAACCGCCGCGGAAGTCGGAGGCCGGCGCGCAGGGCGAGGAGGGCATCGGGGGCGGGGGGCTCTGCTCCCCGCCTGACCCCTCTCGCCCCAATCCAGGAAAGTGAAGGCTCTTCGGACTTTTGAGCCAGGAGATAGACAGACCGACACGGCCGGCCGCACCGGGTCAAGGACTTGCCCCACCCGTGTCCCCCACCAGGCGCTCCCAACTCACTGGTGAGCGCAGCGGCCCGGGCGCTGGATGCGGGGGCGGCCGCGATGGCACCGCGCGCGGGACAGCTGGGCCTTCGGGGGCCGCTGCTGCCGGGGCTGCTGCTCGCGGCGGCAGCGCTGAGCCGGCCCGCCGCGCCCTGTCCCCTCCAGTGCTACTGCTTCGGCAGCCCCAAGCTGCTGTTGCGCTGCGCGCCGGGCGCCGAGCTCCGGCAGCCGCCACGGGACGTGCCGTCCGACGCGCGCAACCTCACCATCGTGGGCGCCAACCTGACAGTGCTGCGCGCGGCCGCCTTCGCCGACGGGGACGGGGACGCGGACGGAGAGGAGGCGGCGACTCCTGGTGTCCGCCTGCCGTTCCTCACCGCGCTGCGCCTCACGAACAACAACATCGAGGTGGTGGAGGACGGCGCCTTCGATGGGCTGCCCAGCCTGGCGGCGCTCGACCTGAGCCACAACCCGCTGCGCGCCCTGGGTGGTGGCGCCTTCCGCGGGCTGCCTGCGCTGCGCTCGCTGCAGCTCAACGACGCGCTGGCGCGCGGCGGCCCCGCGCTGCTGGACGAGCTGGACGCCGCGCTCGCCCCACTGGCCGAGCTGCGCCTCCTGGGCCTGGCGGGCAATGCGTTGAGCCGCCTGCCGCCAGCCGCGCTGCGCTTGCCGCGCCTTGAGCAGTTGGACGCGCACTCAAACGCACTGACCGACCTGGGCCCCGACGAGCTGCGCGCGCTCGAGCGCGATGGAGGCCTGCCCGGGCCGCGCCTGCTACTCGCCGAAAATCCCCTACGCTGCGACTGTGCCGTGCGCCCCCTGCTGGCTTGGCTGCACAACGCCACGGAGCGCGTACCCGACGCGCGCCGCCTGCGCTGCGCGGCACCGCGGGCGCTGCATAACCGGCCCCTGCTAGGACTGGACGAGGCGCGGCTGCGCTGCGCCGATGTCGACCTAGACCGACGCGGAGAAGAGGTTGACGGCGCCGGTCCGGAGCTGGAAGCCTCTTACGTCTTCTTTGGGCTGGTGCTGGCGCTCATCGGCCTCATCTTTCTCATGGTGCTCTACCTAAACCGCCGCGGCATCCAGCGCTGGATGCGCAACTTGCGCGAGGCCTGCCGGGACCAGATGGAGGGCTACCACTACCGCTACGAGCAGGACGCGGACCCGCGCCGCGCGCCCGCCCCGGCCGCTCCCGCTGGCTCCCGCGCCACATCTCCAGGCTCGGGCCTTTGAGCCTGGCTTGCTGGTTATCAGGGGCTGCCCCCCCCCCCCACCCAGCGGATGACCTCACTGGGGTCCTGGTCTGAAGCCATGGAATAAGATACTCGGGAGCATGGCGCTCCAGAACTAACCCCAGACCAGCTGAGACCTTTGGACCATGGTATTCCACTTATGCTCCAAGCTGTCCTCGAAGTCATTCCATCTGATTCCAGAAACTGCACCTGCCCACCTGCTCTGAAAGCTCTCTCACCCTTAACAGACTCGCCCAGAGACCTTGTCTCTCAATCCAAAAACTCTTTGAGACAGCCTCCACCACTCTGGTTTTGAGCTTGACCTCAACACTGCGCTGACTCTTGTCCCCAGCTCAAAGCCCACAGTCCCTCTTCCCAGGGCTCAGAGACTTTGTGTACCATTCTTTCTCAGAAGCAGAGCGCCCCCATCAGAAGGTTTTAGTAGACTTTGAGCCCTTTGTCCCGTCCTGGAGCTCTGAGCCCTCCATCCTACATAGAAACCTACATCCTGGGGCCCCGAGAGTTGGAATCCTCCCCGATGCTGACAGTGTATTTTGTATCCCAACCCTGGCTTGGCCCCCTCTCTTCTGTGGCCCAGGCTTGGGACTTCAATCCTAATCTGCCTTTCCATTTCCAAGGAGGAGCACACCCTTCTGTAGCCTTAGTGTGGATCCCATCCTCAGCTTTCCCCAGCGATGTTCTGGCCTCCCAACACTCACTGCTTGCCCCCAACCATCTGAGTTTCGTCCCCCTGCTTAAGTTTTAGGATCTCGTTCGCCCCATACCCACACCTTGTACCACACCTGCTGTTCCCCTGCCAGGGTTCCAGTGAGGAATCTATCGCTGGGCTGTGCCACCCCCTTCCCCCCCCGGGATGAGCTCTCCAGTCCCACAGGACAAGCGCAGAAATCAGCATCTCAGTGTGCACTGGAAGATCCTCGTGGGGAAGGAAGAGTGCTGAGTGTGCAAAGGGATGGAGGGGCCATAGAGCCGGGTGGCAGCTCCATCATGGCATCAGAGTTATGGGGGAAAGTCCGTTTCGTCCCCTGCTCTCCCCCTCCCATTGTCTTGGGGAATCATTGCCACCACACCCCCACCCCAGCCTGTATGTCTCACCTCCTGTCTCAGGCATAAACCTGTTCAGGGACAGAGCCTCAGCACCCCGCCTTCTGCATGATCCCAAAGCACAACTGGTGAGTTGGGGATGGGGCTGCCCTCCCTGACTCCCTCCCCTAGGTCAGGCAGAATGGTTGGCCTGTGCTGCCTCTGCACACAGGATTTCTCCCTCCTTTACTGTATCGGCTTGAGGCCTGTCTTCCCAGCCCTTCCCCAAGAAATCTGGACCTTCATTGGCAGTTTTCTATAAAGTCTGCAATAATCTCGGATACACTCCTATTGTAAGTGGTACTATGTCATTCGTGCTCACCTTGGGATATTGGTGGGGGAGGGAGATGATGTGAGGTACCTTTTGGGTCTCTCGGAGTTGGGGTAGTAACCCTTGATATGTACTCTGAGCATGTGGGGAAAGAGAGATCTGATATAGCAGGATTGAAGATAGATGTGTGGGGAACTTCCCATTCAGATGGTACTGGCGTCCATTTGAGTCTTCTCTTTAGCTCTTAGGTTAGTCATTCCAGGATGGGATCCAAAGCTTGGCTGCATCCTGTTCCTGTCCCAGTCCTCTTCCTATGGGGTGCGCCTGGAAGGTGGAAGGGAATGTGTTTAGACTAACAAATGCAGGCCTAGGGTGCAGCTGCGAGGGAGAAATCCAGCTGTAGAGAATAAGAGGCAGGTAATGCCGAGAGAGAAGATGGGTCATACGCTGTTCTGGTGCCATCCCCTCGGTGGGTTTCCTGGCTCGTCAGATAAGGCCTGAACACTGGGCATGTGAGAGCCTGACGGTGGCAACAGCCTGGAGCTGGGGATAAAATGACCCCTGGAGATATGTGGAGCAAGGGGACAGGTGGCTGCAGACCAGTAGGGTCAGAGTGGGGCTTCTCTCCTGCCTCAGATCCCCAGACTGAGTTATTTTGCATTCAGAGTCCCAGAGCTCTAGAACCATGGGGTAGAAATCCAGATGCTGGCTTGTTAGAGTCTCAGGATCACATGATTCTAGAACACATGCCCCTTGCACATGTCAGGGAAACTCAGTGATATGGGACGCCCCCAAAGCTGTCTCAGGGAGCTCCTTTTCACCACCACGGAGTCTTCTGGGAGCCAGGAGTGTGCTGCACCCCAGGCCGGTCCTGCAATCAGAGACAGTGCATGGGTCTCCTTGTCTTCTCCCAGCAGTCCCCATCTTTCCAGTTACTCCTCTGAGAAGGGGTTAAATATCCTAGAGGTATTCCCATCTTTTGGTGACCTTCAAGGTGCCCCAACAGTCCCCTAGGATAGTGGTGACAAGCCTATGGCATATGTGCAACAGAGGGTCTGCAGAGCCCTCTCTGTCAGCATGGGAGCCAAGCTCTTCAATCACCCCCGGCAGTGAGCATCGGATAACAGTTGGGGGGACAGTATTGTCACTTTGCAATAAATTAGTGGATTTGTGGTTGTAGGGTGGGCGCTTAGTCTCTAAAAGTTTCACCACCACCACCCTAAGTTGAAATAGTAATGATCTCTCTCACAGTTTAGAGAACTATCTCTAACAGATGAACTCTTCCATGGCCAAAAATGCACCGTCTGGTAATGTAGCCTTAGACTGCAAATAAATCCTAGCCTCAAACGAAAACAAAATCCCTATTATTAGCTGTGGGTTTCTTGTCAGCAAAGAAATCTTTGAGGCTTTTATATGAGAATCATTACAATATTCTACTAAGTACTAAGAGCTTAGTTTGTTTGAACTGCTAAATATCATTAGTTAGCAAAAATCCTCTAAGTATCTGCTGTATGCCAGTTGATATCTAAACTTAATGCCCTTCACCGATCCCCATTAAAAGTCATCTCTGATCTGCCACCGTCTTTGCAATCTGTTAGTGGCCTTTGGCTTTATGAGACTATTAATAGGGTCCCACAGTCCCCAGCTTTGCCTCCTCTGCAACTCTAACCATTCAGTCAGCCTGTACAGATTGCAACTCTCCAGTCCTAGGGAAGTCAATGATCCAGGAAGGAATCACCATTAATTAAGGTCTCGAGAAAAGAGATTCTAAGAAACAACTCACAATAAGGGCCCTGATGGAACCTGAGGAATCTTCTCAGAGACAGTCACATTTGAGATGAATTTTGAATAATGAATAGGCATTTGCATAACAGAGAAAGATCAGAAGTACCAACTTGCACAAAGACCCAGAGGCAGGAAGATCTTGTCAGTTTGAAGACTAGAGAAGATCAGCAATAGCTGAGAATAAACAGAAAGCTGTGTGTGTGTGTACCTGTGTGTGTATACCTGTGTGTGTGTGCATGTGTCTGCATGTGTGTGTAACCAGGATCTGCATTCTCCGCTGGGAAGCCCTAGCAGGTCCTCTGTGTTTGGAGGATGTGCCGGGAAATAGAGACATATGAGATGGAGCAGAGAAACTGACTGTGCCTCTTACTAATTGAGCCTAATTGTTTTCTTCTGCCCACCCACTCTTCTGAGCCCTAGAGAGAGATGTACCATGCCCGTGGGAAGCCAGAAGGACAGTATAGGAGGGCAGGAGCCAGAAAAGACCTTGAGGGAAGCAGGGGTGGGGTCAGCATTACCTGCCTGATTCCCTGCTACCACCCACTCACACTGTCTTGGAGACTGCTGGAATCGAGTGTGAGCAGAGGCCTCTGAACTTTAGGGACCAAATGGCAGAGGAGAGAAACTATCCGTGCCCTTACAGTTGGAGTACAGTAGATAATGGGAGAGAGAGAGGAAGAGGGTGCATGACTGTCATTGTGTTAGACAGGAAAACAGCTGTGCGCTCGGAAGAGTGAGACAGATGGCCCGGGTTCTGTGACCCTAAATAGCATGAAAATTGTCCTTGCAAAACATCTGGAGAAAGCCTTTTGCTGCCATCACCCCTTGCTTATGCACCTGCTCTCACACCTGAAGTGGCTCTCAGAAGGTCTCGCTGGAGTCTGGAATTAGATGGGAGTCTGAACGCAGCACCTAACTTGCCCTGTCCCATAGTCCTTAGAAATACTAGGTGAGATCCTACTGGGTGCTGGGTGCTGGGAAACACGGCCAAGCTGGCTCCTGCCTTTCTGGTGACCTTGGACACCCTGTCTTTCTGGCTGTAGGTTCTTTCTGTCCAGGCTGAGCTGCACTTGTGACCTCAAAGTCTGGAGGCAATGCCTGCTCTTGCTGAAGTCCATCTCCTTCTTCATTAGGTTTCTGCCTGACAGACTCCAGGCCCTAATTTATGGGCCGGCCTTTCCCAGGCTGGGAGAATGACGGGTGCAGTTAATATTCCCGTGGTGATGCACTTGGCTGCCTTCGAGTCCCCTCCTCCACCCATGCCTGCCTTTCAGCCCCCACCCTCTGCCCTCACCAGTACCTCTGGACCACTGTGCAGGAGGTTGCCTGCCCTATGCAGACTCACTTTTCCTTGGATGAGTGTAGAAACAGGCTCAGAGGGCACAGGAACCCATCCAGGCCATATAGGTTGTCAGGAGCAGACACTGCCCAGGGTTGTCCCCACACTTCCCTGGGTCTACAAACCTGACAGGGTCACCCCCCACCTAGTTTAGCATCTTCCTGGCGTCACTGCATGCAGCAGCCCAACCAGAGCTGCTGCCACCTGGAAAGCAAAACGGAAAGTGAACAGCGGAGAGATGGAGAGGATTCCCACCATCCCCAGTTCCTACTGGGTTTCAAGAGTCCCACTAGAGCCTCTAGGAGGCTGCAGCCTGCTGGGGGGTCAAGTTGCCCCTCCCTGAGAGGAGAAAGGGGTTCCAAGCTCCCAGGTCTTTAGGATTCCACTCATTCATCCAAGGTCCCTGCTGTCTGCCAAGCACTTACTAAAAACAGGGCTCACATGGATGAACTAAATCTGACTCATCCTCAGTCAAGATAATTTCCACTCAGGGTACCTGTGACTTAAACACAGAGGACCAGCCAGGTTTCTAAGATGACCACCCAAACTGGCAAATTTTGGCATTAAGAATAATTTGCATGGGAGCCTGATGTGGTGGTGCATGCCTGTAACCCCAGAACTCTCAGAGGCTGAGGCAGGAGGATTGCTATGAGTTTGAAGTCAGCCTGGGCTACACAGTGGGTTCAAGGCCAGTCTGAAATAGGTAGCAAGACCCTGTCTCAAAAAATAAAAAGGGCTGGGCATAGAGCCCAGGCACAGGCCCTGTGTTCAACCCAAGTACTACAAATCAATCAATCAATAAACTAATAACTCCATAGGGACAAAAATAAACTTGAACTGTCCAGGCTGGTGGGCCTTGACTCAGACACTTTTGACAGGACCTAGAAGGGGAAATACAATGTGCTAGGCAGCCAGTCAAGACTGTCCAGTCTCCCAGCACTAGGAAACTAGATAACTAGCACACTCTCTCCCTTGGACCTGGTCTCCAGCCACACCATGCTACTCAGTTCTCACTAACTGAGTCCATCAGTTTGGGGCCTGCGCCTTCGCTCACAAGGCTCCCTCTTCCCAACACAGCACCCAGGGCAGCCCCAGCGCCCCTTGACTTTCCTGGTCTCACCCCTTCTCCCGTTGCTCCACCACCCAGACCTTTATCTGCATTGACTGGTATTCTTGCCCTGGCTGCACAAGGCCATAGGCATCCCTCCTCCCAGGACAGGGGCTGGGCTTGTTCACTTTTAGGTTCCCAGACATGGTGCAGAAAAGATTTATGAAATCCCCTTCAGCCCTGCCCCACCTGACAGAAATATAAAATGCAGAGCAAGAGACATTGCCCAGGGCACTATGACCTTTCTTTTGCAGATGCGTGCTTCTTTGATTCCTGCATCCTCCCATTTCATTAACTGAGGTTGCCATGGTACAAGATGCATGGGTGGCTTACTCCCCCACACACCGTTCTACAACATACACCAAATGCAGTTTCCAAATATGAGACCTTGCAAAACGTAACTTAGTCTTAATGTCTTCACGTCAGCTTTTAAATAGGATTATAACTTTTTGACCCTCCTGTAGAATACTTGTCCAGGGTCCTTCCTGGGCAGTGCCTGCCCCTTACTTATGGTGCATTCCGCACCCTAAGAAGCTGCAGCGACATCACTCGGTGGAGCCGTGTTGCAGCCGAGCCGGCCTCAATTTTTCTTTGCATACGTGCGCCATCTGCTGGTGGATATGGAGAGGTTCCTTCACTTACCAACCATTCATGAAGGACCTACTTACTATGTGCTGTAAGTACTGTACTAGGAAGAGATGCAGTATTGAGGAAAACTGACAAAGTTTGACTTTGTAAATGTAAACTAATGTAAATGTAAACTAACATTTACATAGAGTGCT